TGAAGGGAAAAAACAGAGTTAACGTTTCGGGTCCGGTGACCCTTCCTGAGTTCTGAGGGACCCAATTCGTTAACTCTGTTTGTTCCTTCACAGATCTGCCAGACCTGCTGAGCTTTTCCAGCAATTTTTGTTTTGTTCCTGAGAGCAATATCCAACTCATTAATAGGGCTAAAGGTAATCTCAAAACCATCGTCGTCCAAACCCAGGACCTCTACCACACAGAAGAACATTGGCAGTAGTTATACTGGAATACCATCACTTTAAACTTCCCCTTTAAACCAGACACTTTCTAATAATCATATTGTCACTCCTTCAGTGTCCTTGGGTCAAAACCTATGAATTCCTTCCCTAAGGGCATTGTGGGTCTACCTACAGCACATGGACTGCAGTGGTTCAAGAAGGCAACTCACCACCACCTTCTCAAGGGGCAACTAGGGACGGGCAATAAATGCTGACCCAATCTACGATGCCCATGTTCAATGAAAGTAATTTATAAAACATTCAGGAATTGGCATCATAACTGATCAAACTGTAACAGAAGCAATAAAAAAAAAGTTGGGACGTATTTCATAAAAGTCAAGGCAAAGACCAAGACAGAACTGATTAAATGTTTGCAATTTCCATCCCTGACACCCAAGTGGATGGTGGCATCACTATTCACCTGGTGAAATGCTTCTCTGTTGGTGGAGAGAAAACACTCAAACCCCCATTGTTCTTTTTTAGCTCGCTTGTGCATTCATCGCCGGCTTTCTGCATTACTTCTTCCTGACTGTGTTTGCCTGGATGTGCCTGGAAGGGATACAGCTCTTTCTAATGGTGGTGAAGGTTTTCAATGCAGGCTGCCTCAGAAAGCGGCACATGCTCCTGTTTGGTTACGGGCTGCCACTTCTAGTTGTTGGGATCTCAGTCGCCATCAACAGGGAGGGCTACGGAACAAGCAAACAGTACGTACCCCATTCTCAGTGATATGTTGCTAAGGGCTCTGAAATGTGCTCATGATTAAAACTTCAAACACCAAAGTAATAAGAGCTCTGTCTGTTTAAATCTGGGAGGTTGCTTGTACGCAAGAAGGCTCTAGTTCATAAAACCGTAAGAGCAGAAGTTGGCCATTCAGCCTATCAAGTCTGTTTCACTGTTCAATGAGATCATGATTGATCTAATAATCCCAAACACTACTTTGCCCCATGAGATAACACAGTGTGGAGCTGGATGAACACAGCAGGCCAGGCAGCATCAGAGGAGCAGGAAAGCTGACGTTTCAGGTTGGGACCCTTCTTCAGAAAGAAAATTTCTGAAGAAGGATCCTAACCCAAAATGTCAACTTTCCTGCTCCTCTGATGCTGCCTGGCCTGCTGTGTTCATCCAGCTCCACACTGGGTTATTTCTGTTAAACGTGCAATCATTTCTGCTGCTATAATTACAAACTCTTGAGAAGAGTAAAGGATCTCTGAATCCCCGACGTGTTTCTTATATATCTCACATTGGCTAAGGGTCAGAGTACCATAATGCTAATACCACTGGAGAAATAATTGGGAAAGACAGGCAAATTGCATTGGATGACATGCGTTCAAATCCTGTAAATGGCACCTCAGTGTCATTTTAATTTTACAAATAATTCTGGAATAGAATGACCATGATAGCTATCGTCCTTAAAAAAAATGCCTAATGTCCTTTAGGGTCTGGTCTACATGTGACTCCAGACCCACCACAATGGGGTTGGCTTCTAACTACCCTCCGAAGCAGGCCATTCTGTCCAAGAGCAATTAGGGTTGTTATTGATGTCGAGGCTTTAATAGAAGAATGGGAGTGTCCCTACCTCTAGGGGAGGTGATGGCCAAGTGGTATTATTGCTGCATTGTTAATCTAGAGACCCAGGTAATGTTCTGGGGACTGGGGTTTGAATCCTGCCATGGCAGATGGTGGTTTTTGAATTCAATAAAAATATCTGGAATTAAGAGTCTAATGATGACAATGAATCGACTGTCAGAAAAGTCCATCTGGTTCACTATTGTCCTTTAGGGAAGGAAACTGCCATCCTTACTTGGTCTGGCCTACATGTGACTCCAGGCTCACAGCAATGTGGTTGACTCTTAACTGCCCTCTGGGCAATTAGGGATGAGTAGTAAATCTGGCCAGCGATGCCCTAATCCCGTGAATGAATTTTAGAAAAGGCCTAGAAGGTTAAGGTTCAAGTCCCAAGTGCCATAACATGAACAAACAGGATGATTAAAAATGTATCTTTTTCCTGTCAACAATGACCACATTCCATGGAAGAGTAAAGAGAAGTGGAGGGATTAAGAAAGGCAGTTGGGTCTAATTGCAGTGTCAGCAAAGCAGAGTGGAGGAGTGTGGCACAGGACAATTTAGCAGCAGAGATGACAAGACTATGCTAATTCAGTAAGAGACAAAAGTCAGATGAACTCTGTCTTAATTTTTACTTTTTTCATCTGATGTATGACTTCTGTCATTAATGCCCTTGCTGTGGTATGGAGACTTATAAAACTTCTCACTGTATTTTTTTTGTGAAAATAGACGTGACGATAAATTGCTATTCTATTCTCTTCTAGTACATGGCTCTTTTCGAATGCAGAGCAATCTTGCATTTGCTCCAGCTGCAAGCTGCACAATCTGACACCAATACTGTGGCCTTCAGTTTAAAGAGACCTCAGCGCTAAAGAAACTGACCTACATTTCTACTTCTTATGTGATCAATCTTCAATCTATACTGCTGCAAGATATTTCTTACACATAGGTGCATGCCACTGCAATCCAGCAGCCTTAGATGCGTTGGAAGAGGGGAGGGGTTCCTCATCTAAGATTTAACTCTTCCTGTGCCACTTGCAAGCTCTTTCAGTCAGGTTCAGAAGTCACACAACATCAGGTAATAGTCCAACAGGTTTATTAGAAATCTTGAGTTTTCAGAGCACTGCTCCTTCGTCAGGACAGGGTGGACCCAGTGCGTGGAATGTCTACACCGTTTATTCCGGCTCTGGGGTCAGATTTCAGATCCCACATCTCAAAATGAAGCCCTCCCAATCCAACATTGACTCAATTACCATGCTCATAAATCACTCTTACAAGAACAGGCGCAATTCCTTGGGGCGTTGTGGTGCCCGATGAGATGACATGACAGTGCGCAAAAGAAATTATTTTGCCTCCAGAGCCTTCAACATTCCTGCTGCTTTCCTCTTGAAATCCCTTTAGGTTATGTGCATCAGAAACTTCAAAAAGTGCCATGAGAGTAACAAACAAAGGTTGTTGACTTGCTCGCTGAGCTGGCTTGTTTTCGTTCAGGCGTTTTGTCACCATGCTAGGTGACATCATTCAGGGAGCCTCTGATGAAGCAATGTTATTCTACTCCACTTGGAATTTATACTGTCCGGTCTGTAATAGTGCATACTGTCATTTCCGGTTTTGTTCTGTATGGGTTTGTGTATGGGGTCCAATTCTATGTGTTTGTTGATTGCATTATGGGTGGAGAACCATGCCTCTAGGAATTCCCATGTCTGTCTGTGTTTGCCTTGGGCTACTATGATTACCTTATCCCAGTTAAACTGATGGCCTTCATTGTCCAAGTGTACTGATGTTAACACACTGGCCACACTGCCCTCCATCAGGAACATATCAGAACTGACAACAAGATTCCTAAGACCACTAGGAATCATGGTGGCCCACAAGCCCACAGCCATTCGACAACAAACACTCACATGGATTAAAGACCCCATTCCCACAACATGCAGAACAAACGTGGTTTACAAAATACCATGCAACGACTGCCACAAACATTACATCAGACAGACAGGAAGGAAACTAGCCATTAAAATGAACATCAGCTAGTAGCAAAACAACCCAACAAACTTTCCTTAATATCAGCACACTCAGATAATGAAGACCATCAGTTTAACTGGGACAATGTAACTGTAGTAGCCCAAGCTAAACAAAGACACGCACGGGAATTCCTAGAGGCATGGTTCTCCACCCACAATGCAATCAACAAACATATAAAATTGGACCCCATACACAAACCCATACAGAATAAAACCGGAAATGACAGTACAAACCATTACAGACCGGACAGTATAAATTCCAAGCGGAGTAGAACAACATCGACTCATCGGAGGCTCCACTGATGATGTTACCCAGCATAATGATGAAACGTCTGAACGAGAACAAGCCAAAAGTGAGAAGTTTTATAAGTCTCCATACCACAACAAGGGCATTAATGACAGAAGTCATACATCAGATGAAAGAGGTAAAAATTAAGACAGAGTTCATCTGACTTTTGTCTCTTACTGAATTAGCATGGTCTTGTCATCTCTGCTGCTAAATTGGCGAGCAAGTCAACAACCTCACCCACAACCCGAGCTACAGATCTTTGCCAAAACTTTAAATAGCAAACAAAGTAGGAAGATCTATTCCACAGAAGGGTATTTTTAGAACTTAGCAGTCTCATGTAATCAATCTTTGATGTTTCTGATAGGGATCAGCTTCTGCCTCTTACCTGCACTGAGAAGTGCAGGAGCCAAGTCTTAAATCTCTCTTTCCTGTCTGCAACAGACAAATCAGATTTATTTTTAGTTTGTTTGCATGTAAAGGGTGGTTGATGCAGGAAAAAAATGTTATTGGTGGGAATGGGTTGGCCAGAGAAACATTTTTAGACAGACAGTGGTGAGAACGCAAACTGCCACACTGCTGATTTATATTAACGCTTTTACCAAATGTGGGCATTTCTGGCCATTCTTTGTTGCCCGTTCCAATTTGCCCCATGAGCTGTCCTTGCTAAGGCCATTTCAGTGGGCAGTTAAGGATCAACTACATTGATGTGGGTCTGGAGTCACACATAGGCTAGACCGGGTAAGGATGGCACTTTCCTTCCCTAAAGGAGATGAGTGAACCAGATGGGATTTTCCCATTGTTATCCACTGATAGCCCCCATTAGTAGCTATTCATTCTCCTGGCCTGATCATTATCCACTCCTTTGTCTATCCAACTGTTCTTCTCTCTCTTTGGTCTCTATCCCCACCTATTGTATAGTCCTTACCCCCTCCATCCCCCAATCTAAATTCTGCATAGTGTCGATAGTAATTCCATTGTTGGCATTACTGAGACTAGGTTTATATTCCACACTTTTAAAGTCATACAGCACGGAAACAGACCCTTCGGTCCAACCAGTCCATAATCCCAAACTAAACCAGTCCCACCTGCCTGCTCCCGGCCCATATCCCTTCAAACATTTCTTATTCATGTATTTATCCAAGTGTCTTTTAAATGTTGTACCTCTACCCACATCCAACACTTTCATTTATTAATCACATTTGAAACCTACTGACTACCACTGTGGGATTTGAACTGACATCCCACAGGGCATAAGCCTCTTGATGACTAATCCTCTAATACTGTCAGTGCACCAATGGGAATAGTTCCAACGCATTTACAAAGAAGCTGGATAAACACACGAGGGAGAAGGAAGTGGAGAGATATGACACTATGGTGAGGAATAGAATCATAGAATCCCTGCAGTGTGCAAGCAGGTCAATCAGCCCATTGAGTCCGCACTGACCCTCTGAAGAGCATCCCACCCATACCCAAACCCCCACCCTGTAACCATAGCTGACCTACCCAGTCTACACATCCCTGGACACTATGAGTAACTTCCCATGGCCAATCCAGCTAATCTACACATCTTTGGACTGTGGGAGGAAACCGGAGGAAACCCATGCAGACACGGGGAGAACATGCAAACTCCACACAGACAGTCACCCAAGGGTGGAATCAAACCCGGGTCCCTGGCGCTGTGAGGTAGCAGTACTAACCACTGAGCCACCGTGCTGCCCCTGTTCATAGGCTGTTTATAGTGTAAGTCAAACATTTTGGGTCCAGTGACCCTTCATCAGTGCCGGAGAAGTTCCAACAAAGGGTTGGTGGACTCCAAACATGAACTCAGTTTTCTTCTCTCTACAGTTGCTGTCAGGACCTGCTGAGTTTCTCCAGCACTCTCTTGTCACCTTTACCTGCCTGTGGCACCTCACTTCATATTTTGTCTTTCAGTTTTAGAAAGCCCACAGCAGTAGTCAGCAAAACCCTAAAAATGGGAGCATGTGTAGGCCATTCAGCCCCTTCGAACCTACTTCTATCATTCAATAAAATCATGATTGAATTTGTACATCAACCCCTGACCTACTGTGGCCCTTAGCAATTAAATGTTTATTGACCTCAATCTTGACTGTCCATTGCTCGCTGAGGAGGGAGTTCCAAAGATTCATGACTCTCCAAGTGAAGAAATTTCTCCGCATCTTACTCATAAATGACTGATCCCTCATTCTGAAAACATGGGGACAGGCGATCGTGAATTGGTAATGAATTGGTTGAGTAGGCCTGAGGCTTGGGGTTGTAGGTTCAAATCCCAGCCAGGTCGCTGGTGGGATTTAAATTGAAGAATTAACCTGGAACTGAAAGGCAGTTTCAGTCACAGTGAGCACAAAACAACCACTGATAGTTACTTTAAAACTAAATAAAAACCCAGCAGGTCTGGCAGCATGTGTGAAGAAAAAAAAATCAGAGTCCACATTTCGGGTCCGGTGACCCTTCCCCGGAACTGCAGACCCTTCTGAGGAAGGGTCACCAGACCCGAAACATTAACTCTGATTTTTTTCCTTCTCCGCAGATGCTGTCAGACCTGCTGTGCTTTTCCAGCAATTTCTGATTTTTCTTTCTGATTCCCAGCATCCGTAGTTCTTTCGGTTTATAAAAGAGATTAGCTCCTTATCTTTGATTAAAGCAAAATCCTGCGGATGCTGGAAATCTGCAACACGCACAGGGAATGCTGGAGAAACTCAGCAGGTCTGGCAGTATTTGTGGAGAGAGAAACATTTTGAATCCAGTGCGACTCTTCTTCCGAACTGAAAGGTGGGGAGATTTTTTTTTAAAGAAGTGCTTTTGACAGGGGCAGGTGCCTTGCACAAATGACAAAGCGGTTGTGAGTAGTAACGATAGAGAAAAGGAGATGGAAAATGGGTGCAAGTTAAGGGAAAGAGAGCAAACAGCATTCTCTCTACTAAGGGCAGAGTAAGTAAGACATAAACAAGACAAGGTTGTGAAAGAGAGGGGAGACAATGTAAGAAAAACAGACATAATGCAATCAGTGCCTGAAGTTGTGCAATTCGATGTTAAGATCTAAAGGTTTTAAAGTGTACCCTCTTAGAATCTTAATGTTTCCATTGAATCATGTGATTTCTACCTGACAACATTTTGTTTGACATTTCCTAAGAGGACAATGTTCACTATCCTCCCTTTATCTGTGACCCGCTCTGGTTCTCAATGTCTGTTCCTGCTAACCGTCTGTATCTTTTCTTTTGCAGTTGCTGGCTCTCCCTGGAAAAGCATTTTGTGTGGAGCTTCCTGGGACCAGTCTGTGCGATTATAATGGTGAGAGCCACACAGAAAGTTCAGTCCATGGCTAGGCTTCATTGTCAAGGGAACGCTGACATCCAGCTGAGGCATCCAAACACAGAGACCAAACGAAGAATCATGAGGGATTTTCGCTGGAAAGAGGCGATCGTAGAATCCCTACAGTGTGGACGCAGGCTATTTGGCCCATCAAGTCCATGCTGACCCTCTGAAGAGCATTCCACCTCGTGACCCTGCATTTCCCAAGGTTAACCCACCTAGCCTGCGCATCCCTGGACACTATTGGGCAATTTGGTATGGCCAATCCACCTAACGTCTAGACTGTGGGAGCAAACCCACGAAGACATGGGGAGGACATGCAACCTCCACATGCAAGTCCCTGGTGATGTGAGGCAGTAGTGCTAACCACTGAGCCATGATCAATGGAACGTTCCCAGTTAATAGCTAACAGATTTGGGGAACACAGTTAGCAATTCACTGAGAGGGGCAAGGCTGCAATGAGATGCAATTGTAGGTGGATAAGCAAGAGTCATAAATCTTTTACAGCACAGAACGAGACCCTTCAGCCCACAGTATTCGTGCTGCTCATCAAGCTGATCAAGCCACGTGTGGTATGACATTTCAAGCGTACGTCTGAAATGCCTTGAGAATTTCTGCCTCTGCCACCATTTTAGGCAGCAAATTTCACATACCTACCACCCATACGCCCCTTCCAAATCTGACCTTAAGACTGTGTTTCCCTTGTTTGAAATAGATGCAGACTCTTCAGTATTTGGTTTGGAATGGGGTGACCACAGAAGAGAGGTCAACTGATAAAGGCTAGGCTTCATTTGTCCCAGTTCTTTTTGTGTTGATTTGTTAGGGATCTCTATCCTGCTCACTTTAGCTATAATCTGGACAAAGCATGGTGAAATAATTTAGTTCTAGATTCACATTCCATGCAACACTACAGCCCTGCTTTGAAATAGCAAGGTGTAGAGCTGGATGAACACAGCAGGTCAGGCAGCATCAGAGGAGCAGAAAAGCTGCTCCTCTGAAGGAGGAAAGCAGGGAGGGTCTGGACCCTTCTTCAGAAATGAGGGAAGGGAAGGGGATTCTGAAATAAATAGAGAGAGAGAGGGAGGCAGATGGAAGATGGATAAAGGAGCAGAGAGGTGGAGAGAAGACGGACAGGTCAAGGAGGCAGGGATGGAGCCAGTAAAGGTGAGTGTAGGTGGGGAGTTAGGATGGGGGTTGGTCAATCAAGGGAAGATGGACAGGTCAAGGAGGTGGGATGAGGCTGGTAGGTAGGAGGTGGGGGTGGGGGTTGAGGTGGGAGAAGGGGATAGGTGGGAGAAAAGATGGACAGGTCAAGGAGACGGGGACGAGCTGGGCTGGTTCTGGGATGAGGTAGGGGGAGGGGAGATTTTGAAGCTTGTGAAGTCCACATTGATACCATTGGGCTGCAGGGTTCCCAAGCGAAATATGAGGTGCTGTTCCTGCAACCTTCAGGTGGCATCATTTTGGCACTGGAAGAGGCCCAGGATGGACATGTCGTCCGAGGAGTGGGAGGGGGAGTTGAAGTGGTTCGCGACTGGGAGGTGCAGTTGTTTGTCGCTTGAAGCTGCTTTGAACCAGGTGTCTCCGAGTACAGAATCCTTACTTCTTTCTTGGACAGTCCTGCGCATATCTTCATTATATCATCAGTTACCACACTGTCTGACTGATCCCCAATAAACCCCTTTACTCCATCCACAGTATTGTAACCTCTTCCACTCCAAACCGTGTTCTATTTTACTGTTTCTGCTTTCGTCCTTTCTCTATCCAACCCTAACTACTCTTGAACTCAAAGACTGGCTTGTGCCATTTCGGAGACCCAGTTAAAACTCAGCCACGTTGCTGTGGGTTTGGTGTTATATGTAGGCCAGACCACATAAGGACGGCAGATTTCCTTCCCTAAAGAACATTAGTGGACCAGATTTCTGTTTTCATAAAGATCAATAACGCTTTCTTAGCATCGCTGCTCAAGATTGGCAGCTCACCACCTTGACAAGAGTGACTAGAGGTGGGTGATAAATGCTGGTCCAGGCAGCGATGGCCACATCCCACGAGTGAATGAGTAAAAAAAAAGAAGCTGAGATGGGTCCAATACTCAGATGCTCTCAAGAGAACGACTTTCAAATCTTAAAAACATCTCTGAGTGGAAGTGTCCGTGCTAATAAAACCAAAAACATTCTATGCTGTTGGTATAACACATTCAGAGATAGCAAGAATGTCGATGCTGGAGTCACAGATAACACAGTGTGGAGCTGGAGGAACACAGCAGGCCAGGCAGCATCAGAGGAGCA